CTCCATTTGGTTGTAAATGAATATTTAAAAAATCCTTCCAGGTTGCATTATCATTTCAATTTTTATTAGAAATAATGATAAAAATGATGATATTGATAATCATAGGAGATAACACTTTTGGAAGCTTTACCAAATTCTAAGCACTGATCTAAGCACTAAGCACTATTAAACAAAAATCCAAAGCCATTGCATCGAGTCAATTTCAATGCATAGTGACCCTATTGGAGAACAGAGTAGAACTGCCCCATAGGATTTCTAAGGAGCACGTGATGGATTCAAACCGCCAACCTTTTGGTTAGCCGCAGAGCCCTTAACCACCATACCACCAGTGCTCCACTAAGCACTATACTATATCTATACCTGTATCTGTCTATTCATAAACAGAGTGGTCACTATATAAATGATTTATTGATATTATGTTACAGTCTTCATGAAAATATTCAATGAAGTCTTTGCTCAAAAACTTCTAGGCAACAAAATATGCACATATTTCCTATCACTACAAGAAAAATAAATTTGGAATTATATTAATAATTTAAATAAATTTAAAATTATATTAATTTCAAATAGCTTAAACTTTAAGACCATCTTTATGTAGTCAATAAATCCACAGATGGCCATGTGAGATAAAGTAATATTAGTTTTTGAAGTATTATTTTTAATCCATACTTTTATTTAAGGTAGTTACATTTATAGACTTTATGCCTGGGAGGTCTTTCCAAAAGATATTGATAAACTGATCATTCATGAATTGGAGGCATAAATTAAATAATATCATTAAGAGGAGTGTTACTTTTCCTTTGTACAATATGGTGACTGAGGTCACAATAATCTTAACTATTTCAGTGCTAACATAAGTGACAACTATGTACAGAAAATGTTTCTCATGTATTATACTAACCTCATCCTGTTAAATCTGTATTTTTTAATTTGGATTATTTTTATCGAAAACACTTCTCATTACACAGAAACATGAGAATAGGTATTTTTGGACACTCTATTAGGAAAATACATCTTTTATTCATTACAAACTTATAGCCATTAATTATGTCTTCCATGCCAATGGTAATATATCTATTTTTAATTCTGAGCAATAGCACACTGTGCCATAAAATTTTCAAGGAGTAGTAAGATCATGAAGTAGGTCATGAAGTTGATCTATTAAGCACATTTTAAACATTAAAGGCATAATTTTTCTGGAGTTTCTTAATACAGTCAGCAACACACATTTATTGAGATTCTATGATGCAGTAGGTACTGTGAGTACTACTAAGAGATTTAAGGCAGTTCTTGTTGACAGATCCTTCTTTGATGTGCCCGGGCCACAAGAAACACGCACGTGAAAAATTAAAGGAGAGAAGACAGAATGACATAGAGATAAAACCATGAGCCAAAGTAACTAGGCAAAGTTAGATTTAGGGCTGACTCAGAGTTTATTTAGGGCAACTTTCTGTTTTTACTCCCAGATTGAGTCTGATCTCCTGCAGATGCGGTAACCAAACTCTGATCTATTTATACAACTTAGTGGCTCAGTAGGCGCAGTGGTTAAGAGATCAGCTGCTAACCAGAAAGATTGTTAGTTTGAATTCACCAGCCCCTCCTTGGAAACCCTATGGGGCAGTTCTACTCTGTCGTATAGGGTCGCTATGAGTCGGAATCGACTCGAGGCAGTGGGTTTGCGTTTTGGGGCCTAGGTCAAAAGCTTATAGAATGAGAGATATGATGACAAAGCTGGCCAGTTCCCACTGGCCAGTCTCCTATATTACCCTTCAGTACCCTCCTTGTTTCTTGTTTTCCCTGCCCCTTTTACCTGATGAGATAGTTATCAAATCACTGAAAATTTCGTGAGTTCATGCTGTGCTCATGGATTGCAGGAAACGAATACACCCAAAGGAGTCCTCTTTAAGAAAAATAACATAAAACCACAAATACAAAAATTAAGTACCGGGCCTTTGACAGGTCCTATGCAAGTGAGAGCCCCTGAAATTTACAATTCATTAACTTAATGGAAAACGTGCCTATTTTTTTTAAAGATTCACCTTAATTTGCTTCCTACTGTTCTAACAAAACTGATGCACTGCGGATGGACAGAAGTATTCATACTGTTTGCTGGGAAAATCTTCCTCCTGCTTGGTTGGAAAGTCTTACTTAACCCAGGCATTCTCCCCACCCCACAACAGATGTAGAGCCTTTTTGAAGAAAAATACATAAATCTTTTGGTAGACCTAAAATAAGTTTTCAATAAATAGGTATTTTATATTCATAGATGTAAAACTAAAAATCATAAAGATGCTCACTGTCCCCAAAATAATCTATAAACTTAATGCAATCTAGGTAACAAGAAAATAATTCTAAAGTTCTACTGAACAAACGGAAAATGATGACACAACCATAACAAACACAACAAAACAAATGGACTTCAAAATCCAAAACAATTGAGTTAACTGTAGACTTTGAATTTCAACTCAGAGATAGAGAGGAGGAACTATTTAATGAAAAGTGCTAATACAACCATCTTTCCATTTTGGGGAAACATTTATATCTGAGATTCAATTTCAGTTGGATTAAGATTTAAATGTGAAAATGGAGCAATTAAATTATTATAAATTTAAAAATGCACATTTTTGCTAGTTGGGACTCAGAAAGACTTAGCAGCAAGAATATTTAAACTTTAGTGACAACTAGAAACAGATCCTTTTATTACCAAAATTCAATCTAGCTGGTGATGTTCTCCTTTTATTTTTCTCTTACCCACTTCTTATCAAGTTTCAGAGTCTGATAAATGATTGTGCAAATAAAGCAACACAAAAATATTCAAAGTCAGAGGAAATGAACACATCATATCATTTGTTACAAAGAATCTTAGATGACATTTTATTTCCACTTCTTACGTTTCAGGTAATTGAAGTCATAAATTCCAGAATCTCAGAGCTGGAAAGGACCTGAGAAGGCTTACAGTGTAGCCTGCTTCTTTTACAGACATGGCAGGTAGGAGCTCAGTGGGGTTTAGACATTTGCCTTATATCTCACAGCAGTGATGGAAGATCTAGGACTTGAAGTCCCCACTCCTAAATCTCAGTTCCGTGCTTCTTTTATGTGGTAAAAATTAAAGCATATATGTTTCAAACTAGTATGATACCAAACTATAATCCTGGTCCTCAGTTATGTTTTTTAATCTCCCCAGAGATAATTTTTCAACCTTTTTCTTGCTGAAATTTAAGTTCATTTCCCCTTAAACGGTTAGAAATAAAATACAAAGAATTACAAAGGGGGCAGTAATTTCTCACAAAAAAATCTTGGCAATAGTCTGCAAGTCCTGTAAGCTAAAGCTAATGAAAACAGTTTAAATTTGGACCTTTCATTTTCAACCTACTTCCAATTTATCTCCTTCAAACTATCAAATATATGTTACGATTTGTAAGTAGGAAAGGCTCTTAGAAAAAATCTTGTTTAATCCTCTTAATTTCAACAAAAAGACGTGTGGTGCACACAGATAGAGGATGGCAGAAACCAGTTATTTCCTAGTAAGTAATTTTTCTTCCATGTTATACTAACTCCATTAAGAAACATTACGGACTCATAAAAATTGATCTGGCACCACTTCACATAAAAAAGTTCAGGAAGAAAAATCCAGCTGTCAGATATAAGTAGGCATTTTGAGTGTTCAGACCTTGCTGTAAGGAACAGTGACTCATGTGAAATGTAATGTGCAAAGGAAGCTGACACATAAAAGGATAGAACAACAATGATGAGTTTTCAAAGACATGCTGTGGGAAAAGAACAATTATAGAGGATCTATTTTTGGGTCCAGTAGTGTGGCTTGTGAGTTTAAAAATCATTGCCTAAAAACAGAAAAAAAGAATTAAGTTATCTAGCTTTGATTTTAAGATAACGCAGTTTAGTAGCCTGTATGTGTCGTATAATGCTATTATAGTTTATTAGGATGATACATTATTAAATTGTTAAATACTTTGCAGTCAAAAATAAGGGCAGTAAAACTACTTATTTTGTAGGTAAGAGGGCAGTGAGGTATAATATTGCACAATTAATATTTTATTTGGCCTGGTACAATAATGCCAAATTTAAATATGAAGACGCATCCACCTGCAAAAGTAGTCTTTTTAGAAGCCCCAGTGTCCCTGAAGCTTGTAGTTAATGCCCAGGATTGAAATTGAAATTGCTTTGCCAGAGAGTCCTAAAAATAGTAGCTAGAGCAGTTTAAATTTTTAAAACAGCTCACCCCCCATTTTCCTGTTCCCTTACTAATTAATATATCCTCTGTGTTCTGATGATGGGGAAATTTCACATTCATTTATAGACATATAAGGTTGACTGTGTGACTCAGAAAAAAGAAAAAAAGAACTCTGAAGAGAAAAGGAATTTAATTTAAATAAGCATAATATTATTATTCATATTTTTATTGACTCTGTCTGTCTGTCTGATCTGTCTATCTGTCTACTTACTAAATCTGATAAAACATTCATATTCACTTAATACTCCTAGTCCTCTGCCCTAGTGGTGCAAATGGTTAAGTGCTTGGCTGCAAACTGAAAGGCTGGCAGTTAGAACACACCCAGCAGCTCTGTGGGAGAATTACCTGGTGATCTGATCCTGTAAAGATTATAGCCAAGAAAACCCCATGGGGCAGTTCTACTCTGTCACATGTGGTTGCTGTGAATCTGAATCAACTCAACGGTACTCTACGACAACAGTCCTCTGCCAAAGGGAATAAGAGCATAGGGATTAAATCCATACCCCCAGGTCCCAAGGAAATGATTTTATAAGACTTTCAAAGATACCTATACTTCTGTCTTTATCAGTTTTTCAGTTTTGTTGGATTCCCCTTCAAGATTTTCTTTTATTCAGAAGCTAACTATATATTATTTTATGAAAGCTTTTCTTACTATTATTAACATGTTCGTATTGTCCCTGGCTTCTTTGGAAATCCAACATGCTATTTTTATTAGGTCAAGAATGTTCTTTTGTAATGTCTGCAATACCTGAAAGTAGGACCATCCAAAGATTTGACAGGTGGCAGCACAAGTGGTTGGTGTGTCATCGTAGGACCCTGGATGATAAGAGAACATTCCTGTGAATTTGGCATTAGTGGATAGTGGGATTTTACAGAACTTAAAAACTTAAAGTTATAAATTAGTGTATTTCTTTGTTAAGATCATAAAGGTATGTATTTTACATGGTACATTTTATTGAGAATTTGGGGGGAGCTATATTAGGTATATATGTTGCCACCATGCTAACCTGGATGCAGTCAAGAACTTTGTTTTTGGAAGATGCACTTCTTAAGAATGGGGCTCCAATGGGCACAAGTGTGGAGGCAGATGGTCCTTGTTGTTCAAGAATTTAGCACTAGGAAGAGACAGAATCTAGTATGCCTGGCTGTGGTCCAGGTACTGGGGATACAGCAGTCTCTACCCTCATGGTGCTTATATTATTGTGGTGAAAACAAACAGTAAACATATACCCAACCCCTTGCCGTCGAGTTGATTCCGACTCATAGTGACCTTGTAGTAGAGAGTAGACCGGCCCCATAGGATTTCCCAGGAGCAGCTGATGGATTTGAACTGCCAACCTTTCAGTTACCAGCTAAGCTCTTAACCACTGTGCCACCAGGGCTCCAAACATATATATTTGTGTGTGTGTGTGTATATATATATATATATGTGTGTGTGTGTGTGTGTGTGTGTGTGTGTGTATACACATATATATAAGTATAAAATATATATACATATATATATGTGTGTATATATATATATATATATATGTTCACGGGTGATGAGTGTTAAAAGCAAAAAGAGACAGACTAAGGGAGTTGCAAGACAAGGGTGCAGACGGAGTATTCTAAATAGAATGGCCAGGAAAGCCTCTTTGAGGAGTGACATTTGAGCAGTGATGTGAAGTGAGGAAGCAACCTTGTAAAGTTCTGGAGAAAGGATGTTCCCTAGAGAAGGTATGGCGTAGTCAGTGGTTTTGAGGCTGGAGCAACTTTACAGGTTCAAAGAACAGAGAGCCAATATGGTCAAAACAGAGTGAATTAGGGGGAAAAGTAGTCAGAGATCTGGTCAAAGAGGGTGGCAGAGTATAGACCATGGCAGTAATGAGATTTAACTCGCCTTAAAACAGGAAGCTACTGACAATTTAAATTTGTCCACTTCTAAGCAGAGTTAGTATATACACATGTGGTTTATATGCACCTTTTCAGGCTCAGAACTAATGTTGAAAGCAAGATACAGCTATTGTCTAGTTTACCTTGCTTTGCATTTAATTGTGTGATTTGAAGGCACATTTTCTGCATCAGAAACATCGTAATTTAAAAGTCATAGGAAATTGGTAATACCATAATACAAACACAACCTTACAGAATCCTTTTCACTTCCACTGGACTCCGGGGCAAGTACATGCGCACCTGCACACACACATACATTGACTCCCAGGTTAATCATCCGTGTTACAAAATTTATTCCAAATAACTAGGTAAGGAACATGAAATCTAATAGAATCCACACATCAAAATCATATTTGTAAAATTTTAAGTGTATAAATTGTGCATATGACTGTGATTTAACTGTGAAATCTTAAAGAGGGTTTTATCATAACAAGATTCTAAGAAAGTAAACTTTCACGTTGTATCAGTGCTATGAGGCCACTCCATCTCCCGCAACCCCCACCCCTGGACTTATCCCAAACACATTGCATTTTCATAATTCTGATCCCTAGAGTGACAATAAATACATGATTCCAGAGTGTGGAATCATATTCAGTGTAATATTTACAAAAATTTTTATAATATTTTCTAGAATACCATCCATATATATAGTATAAATATACTGTTTAGCCAAAAATAATAAAATAAACACCTATATGCCTAGAGCCCAGCTTTGAAATCCATCGTTCTCCTCTCTCATATATATGTCCTCAGACGTATACCATTATCCTAAACTTGTACTAATCATTCTTTTAATTCTCTTTATGGCTTTTCCACATATGTGTGTGTTTCTAAGCAATGTATTACTTAGTTTTGCTGCTTTTATTATTACTTTTATGAAAAAGGAGTCGTTCTGCATATGTTCTTCTGTGGCTTGCTTCTTTCATTCAGCATTATATTTTGAGATGAATCATTGTTCATGTGTGTAGCTGTGGTTCTTTTCACTGTTGCAGGGTTCCATTGTATGATTGTACAACAATGTGTTTATTTTTTCTATTGCTGAAGGACATTTGGATTGATTCCACCTTTTTGCTATTATAAATAATGAAACCATGAACTTTTTTTTTTACATATCCTGTGGTACACATTTATCTGAGTTTCTTTAGGGAATATATTTAGAAGTGGGATTACATATTCTAGAATTCAAAGTGCTTGTTCTAAGTTACACTCCCACCAACAGTGTATGAGGGTTTCCATTGTATGACATTATTTCTAATACTTTGTGTTACTGTCTCGTATTTTTTAATTTTTACCAATCTGGTGGGTGTAACTTAGTATCTCATTGTGGTTTTAATTTGCATTTTCCTGATTATGAATCACAACAAACTTTGCATGTAAAATGAATTAAATGTCCCTCTGAAACATTTGTTTCTAATTGGTAGCAGTAACTCGAGGTCGTAGAATTACTGTAAACTACTTTGTGCTTATAATTATTTAAGAGAAGGACTAATTATCTGTTTTTGGTTAGGTGCTTCACGGGAAGGAAAGTATATGGTTTATTGCTTTTAAAACTGGAACTGTGTGAATATCATTTCTCATCATAAAGAACACAGTTTAATAATACCTGGCATTATACCCCTAACTTTCCATTTCTCTTTACTCAAAAACTCCATCAAACGCCTATCAAATTTTCCACTGAAAATAAAGGGAGAGAGAAAATAAATAATTCCATTCAAAATTGTGTGTGTGTGTTTATCTATTGAACAATGAGTAACATTTATGAAGCCTACAAATTTTATGAAAGTGTTAGTGTCGTTACTGTTGTAAAAATTATTTCTTACCTACGAAACAACATAGAAGGCCTTGAATTTTACATAATTCTTTATTTCGGACACCACTTGATTTCTTTTATAGCCATCAGCTGAATTTGGCCAATATATTTCTTCAAGATTCTGATTTCTATTTAATAAATATACTTAACTTTTTTTTTTTCCTTTAGCTTAATTGCTGTCCTTTACCATGGTAACATTACATCAAGTAGGTTCATCTATTATTCTTATTTGCTGCATTTCATTTCTGAGTTTTCAGGATTTAGTTGATTTGGATTTTATTGTCCAGTCACTTCAACCAATGGTGCTACCTGAAAAAAACAAGCTCTTCTGGGTTTTCTCAAGTATCATTATTATCTTGATTTGGGCTTTATATTGTTTTCTTTGTGCCCTCTCTTCTTGGATACTGATCTGTTTTTAGTATACAGTTTGCTACTACAGATATTGATACTTTCTCAGAGCAAAGAGGCAGTAAGTGCATAAGACATACACTGTGTTATTTTGTTAACATTTGCAACACATTTACTAACCAAAATTAAATCATCTAATACATTTCCTGATAGGAGTAACCATTTACAGTTTTGCTTTTTACTTATTCCAAAATCACCAAAAGTGTGGAAAGATTCTTTCATAGCATTTTCATCTAGGATGAAAAAATGAAATTTCTAGAACCGTGAAAGAAGAAAACAAAACAAACAAAAAAATCTCCAAAGGCATTTCTATTTCTAGTGGCATTTTCTAGCAAGCTGGGAAAATACCCAAACTTTACCTTTGAACCTTCTAAATTCCATAAGTATGGCACTAAAGCCTGAGACTGAAAAAAGTTTTGCTGTTTTCCAAAATAGCTTGTAGAAAAATCTAGATTCTAAAAATATGCAGAATTCCTGTTAATGTAAAAATACTCATCTCTTTAACATGAACAGATAATGATCCTAATTATAACATATATTAGACAGTTTGTAATGTAATAAATATTTATTAAT